TAAATATGAAAAAATGTTCAACATCACTGGTCATTTGAGAGATGGAAATGAAAACAACCCTGAGATTCCACCTCACCCCAGAAAGAATGGCTGCTATCCTGAAATCAACCAATAACAAATGATGGTGGGGCTAAGTGGAAAGAGGAACCCTGCTCCACTGCTGGTGGGAGTGTAGACTGATACAACCACTGTGGAAATCAGTATGGAGATACCTCAAAAAAACTAGTATCAGAGGTCCCATTTGACCCTGCTATTTCCCTGCTGGGTGTCTTCCCCAAAGAATTAAGAGACTCATACCACACTGATATACATGCACCCATGTTTATAGCAGCACAATTCTTGATAGCTAAAACTTGGAAACAGCCCAATTGCCCATCAACAGGAGACTGGATAAAGAAAATGTGGTGGGGGTTTTTTTTTGTATAAAATAGAGTATTACTCAGTAATAAAAATGAGAAACTAGAGACATTTATAGCTAAATGGATGCAAATTGAGGAGGTACTCTTAAGTGAAATAAATAGGACACACGTGTAAATATTAAATTCTTTAGTCTGAGAAACTGAAAATATAAATGAGGACTAAAAGGTATAATAGATAATGTGAAATAGCAAGAAAATGGGCAAAGAGGAAGGGAATGTTGGAGAGTATGGGAAAGGAAAGAAGGAAATGGAATCAATACGAGAAAATGTGAAAAACAGAAACAATGTCTTTGTAAATAGGGATGGATGGAGGTGTTGAAGGGAGGGAAGGGAAGCGGGGAACAAATAAGAACCAAGATGGATTATGTAAAGGTGCAAATTTCCAATGATGAATGTCATTATATTTTGTACCTTAAATGTACCAATGAAATTAATTTAAAAGAATAATAGAGGTAGAGTTAATAGTTTCAACATCAGGCAACTATAGATTTATATATGAGTTACAAAGTTTACTAAGGTATATTCATTTGGAAAACTTCTCTGAAACCCATTTTCTTTGCTAGTGAAAATATAGCAAGACTCTTTACATCAGGATGTTGTATTTATTTGTATGTCACTTTAGGGTCTTGTTATCCAGCTCTTCAAAGCTGGGACATAATACCTAAGAAAATAAACTTGAAGGAGGAAATGTTTATTTGGTGTCACAGTCTCAGGGGTTTCAATCCACAGTCAGCTGGCTCCACATTTTTTTTAGATGAATAGCAAAGCAGAAACATCCCAGGGCAAGGATATTGTAAAGAAGACCTGCTCATCTCAGGACTGTCAGGATCCAGAGAGAGAAACAGAAAAAAAGTAGATGAAATCCAAAGGGACAGGTTAGGGATAATATTTAATCCTCAAAGGATACCACTATAGACCCACTTCCTTATTTCTAAGTTTCCATCACTTTCCAGTAGTCCATCAATTTAGTATTACGTCAATGGACCAGTTCATTGATCGATAAGGTCAGCACCCAATGATCAAATCAATACTCAAAAGTCCCGTATCTGAACACGGCTTCTTTGGAGTCAGAGCTTTCAACACATGAGACTTTGGGGAACATTCCAGATCCAAACTATAATATATATGAAATCAAATAATACAAATGCTAAGTGGAATATCCATTAAAATCTTATTAGCTTATTTATATTTCTAAGGTTTCTATTCTGTAGTTATAGAAAGCAGAGGCATACAACACATTATTCTAGAAAAATAAATAAAACTATTTGGAGACATTTTGTAAGGGAAGAAGAAGGACCACCATGTTACATAGGACAAAAAAGAGTTTCTGTATCTATTGAATTTTCAAGTCATCTAACTTTACTTTGGGACAAAAGCTATTGGCTAGTTGTTAACAAAGTTTAACCTAAAATGTTCTCAGGCTTAGACTTTGTGATGATTATTGCAAATATATTTACTTTCACTTCCTATCACCCCGTTTAAATGGTATCATGTGTGGAATTAGTAACTACCATTGATGACTGAATTGGCTATTTGAATTACTATGTTAAGTCATCATCAGTGGGATGGTCAAAACAATTTGATTAAGTTACACCTTCAAAAAAACCTCATATAGAGGTATACATGGTCTGTTTATAGAAGATAAGGAGCACAATGCTCTTGGCCTTATCTTCCAAAATAGGTTTTGATCATAAATGGTTGCTGTTCCAAAAGATTGTTATGGAAAAAAACACTGATCATGAATACAAAGAAGTCTATATAAAAATAGGGACCTTTGCAAAGGGATGATTTTTTATCTTAATGCTATTAACCTTCTAGGAATAAGTGAATAATAAAAGCTATTAGTTTAAATTATCTCCTCAATCAACAGAAAGAAAACTTTAGAATGCTTTATAGTGGATTTTGAACTATTTTCCTTCAAGTGAATGGCATAATTTTAATTTAATTTCCCAGGAACATCTGGGGTTTAAAAATTATAGCTACATCATCTACTTCAAAAGAATCAAGATAATATCTGCCTATATTTTTGAAAAATGAAGAGGGATTTACAAACTGAAAGTACCATGTAAAGTAAGATTTTTTTCATAATTATATAAATTCCTTATCTCATTTATTCTAAAAACATTCAGATAAGGAAGTCCATATAAAATAAAAATGAGCTCATTTTGTGTGCCTTATCAGCTAAAAATAATTTTCATTTTTCTAGTAGAGAATTGATTTATTTTAAAAGTTTGAAATACTTTCAACAATGAGTACTTTCAACAATGAAATAGGCAAGAGGTTTTTTTCCTAGAGAAATGCAAAGTATGTTCACACTTTCCACTATTCTAATTCATATTTCTGGCAAACAAACAAAATGAACCATTTCAGAAGTGCCCATTTCTTTGAAGTTTATCTTCTTGGTAAACTCAGAGTCATACAATGTTAGCTTATATTTTAGAGTTAACTTTTTATTTTTTCTGTATATTTTAATCAATTTTTAAGTAAAAACAAATGACATAATACTATTGGGACACTTGATAAACATGATGCTACTGCTTACTACTATGAGCAGGACAGTTTTAGTTGCCAAACTCTACATAAAGAATAGACTAGATATTTGAAGACAATCTCCGGGGCTATTAATCATTCATGTAGTAACTAAAATCTTCATTTTTGAATCAGTACTAAACTTTGAATCACTAATAAACTCTTTTTCACTGAGGAAGTTATTTGTTATTTTATTGTACAGAAAATTAAATTTTTTAAAATATGCTCTTATGGTCTCCATATGGAATGTCCCCCAAAGGCTCCTGTGTTGAAGGCTTGGTCCCTAGTGGAGCCATGTTCAGAAGCAGGGCTTTCAGGTGATTGGATGATGAGGGCTCTTAGCTTTTCAGTGGATTAATCCATTGAAGAGTTCCCTACTAGTTGTAGGAAGTAGGTCACAGGGAGCTTGCCCTAGAAGGACACGTTTTGTCTCCGGTCCCTACCTCTCTGTCTCTCTCTCTGCTTTTGGCCTGCCATAAAATGAACAGTTTTCCTCTATTATGCTGTTCAGCATGAGGTTTCTGTTTTGCAATGGGCCTAAAGCAATAGGCCATGGACTGAAACCTTTGAAACCCTGAGCCAAGATAAATCTTTCCTATTTATAGTTGATTATCTAAGGTATTTCATCACAGTGACACCCTGCTGATTAAAACATACGTTTTAAATGATAATTATTCATTTTGAGAAGCTATTACAAAAACACTATAGACTTCAATGTTAAACATTTAAACATTTACTTCTCAAAGTTCTGAGGGCTAGAAAGATCAAGTGCAAATTGACTTTTCTCCTGCTGAAAACTCTTTCCTTAATTTGCAAGCACATTTAGTGTTATTATATCCTTCCAAAAGAGAGAGAGATAAAATTAGCTCTCACCTATCTTTTTTAATAAGGGACTAATTTCAGCCATCCTTGTGGTTCTACTTTCAGAAACTAAGTACTTCTCTAAGTTCCAATCTCCAGATGCCATCACATTGGGGATTAGAGTTTCAACAAATGATTTTGGGGGGAATACAAATATTCACCTCATATCAATAACTACTTATAAAATTTTAAATGTTATCAAGCAGATGTAACCCTGTTAAAGATTTTGTTACTAACTCTCTGATTGTCTGACACTTAGTGGTTTGCTTTCAATAAGAAAAGTAAGGGGATGTTGCATTCAATATCAGATGATGAAAGATTTTGACTCTCTCTCTCTCTCTCTCTCTCTCTCTCTCTCTCTCTCTCTTTCTCTCCTCTGATGGGATAAACTGCCACCTTGTTAGCTTCCTCGTGGAGAAGGCCATATGACAAGGAATGGAAGAAGGCCTCTGACCAACAGCTAAAGAAGCAATCAGGTTTGTCAGTCCAACAACTATTCAGGAATTTAACCCTACTGGGGAATGGAAGTGCATCTTTCCCTAGTCAAATCTTCAGATGAAAGAAAAGCACCCCTCATCACCTATAATTAGTCTCATGAGAAATCCTGAAGCAAATGACTCATTCAAATAACCTATGCCTAGATTGATGACCCATGTATTGGAGGATATAGTTGATTTGGGCTTTTATAAGAAAATACCATAAACAGGGTAATGTTGGATATAAATCTATTCATCACATTTCTCAATTTTATGAGGTCCAGTATCAAGGTACCAGAACATTTGGTGTCTGGTTAGGATACTTTTCCTTACAGATACTATCTTCTTGTTTTGTCCTAACATGTTGGAAGGGGTGAAGCCACCCTCTGAGGTCTCATTTTTAAGGAAAAGAATTCCATTCTGTTTTGCTTTGTTTCATTTTTTGAATGAAATGGTCTTGAACTCACTGTGTAGCTTAGGCTGCCCTTGAGCTCGCAGTGATTCTGCTGCCTCTGCCTCCCAAGTACTGGGATTACAGGCATGCGCTATAATCCATTCCACTAGCTCCATTCTTGAGGGCTGTATTCTATGTCCTAATCACTTTCCAAAGGCCCCATATCCTATCATTACCCTGAGGGTTAGGGTCTCAACATATGAATTTGGAGAAACACAAAGATTCACTCTGGCATCAGATAATAAATATATCTTGTTTTAAGCTACTACATCCGTAGCCATTTATTATATAATAATATAAAACTAACACTTTAAAGTAATTATAGATGAGATGTCATAAAAAAACTTATATACTGTAACACTAATCACAGTAAATGTTATTAGGATAAGCTAATATATGGATAGAAGAGGTAGGAGAGGAAGCGTACAAAAATACACTTTGAAAACAATAGAAATGTTGAAAATAAAGGAATGGAAAAATATAGCAACTATTATTATACCCAGAGAATACTATGAAAGTCAGGGAAGAAAAGGAAAACTGCCTAATCTCCTATACTATATTAGACACTACATTAGATATTATATTAGACAAAATAAATTTATATCAAGATGAACCCCAAATAATAATAAAGGGAATAGTCTGAAAATTATAACAGGCAAGAAAATAACATCATATACAAAATAAAAGAAAAATTGATCACTATAACATGTAAGAGGTTATATACAAGAAATGCAATAAATTATTCGCTAAAAGCTATTACCCAGGAGCTATCCTGCTATTAACAGCTAGACCACAGTGTTCTCCTGTTGATTGTAAACAATTTTACAGAACACCTACCCCAGACAAGATTATAAGGCACCAATCACAAAAGTAATCCAGCATGCCCCTCCCCTAGCTTGTATGAAAGACCACAGCTTCTATATCAGTGTTTAGTTCCAATCTGTTCCTCCTGCTCCCCAGGTAAAACTTCTAAGATACTTAACCATGGTACTGCCTCCAGTTTAAATATCATACAATCCTGAGCATATCCACTAGCCTTTCAATTCTTTCCCAAAGCACTTAACACATGTTCAAATCCTATACCCTCCTCACATTCTATTATTAAAATACCACATATTTCCCCATAGTATGCCATCCATTATTGCAATGAGCCAATCAACCTAATTTAGTTGACTGTAGATACATACTCGGTGGTCTTTCAAAATGTAAAATCTAAGGCTGACAGTATTATCAATGGTACATTATTAAGCAATTTAAACGTAGTAGGCAAAGTGGAGAAAATACCTTTAAAAGAAGGAAAACAAAATTAAAATAAAGAGGAATTAGGGCATCTGAACTTTCTAATAAAAATTGCCTATTGAATCTTATGTTCTTATATAAAAGCAATGTTAGTGAGGTACTAAAATGTACTTTAGGACTTAATAAGTTTTAACTTGATCACTATTAACTTCTTTCTTATCTAACGATGAAAATGATGCTACTTTTTCTAATTCTTCAAACCATGTTCTTAAATAAATCAGTTATTAGTTAAGTGCAAATCAACTAATTTTTGAGAGTTGCTGGAAGTTTTCAAGTTTAATTTACCTTTCATTCTATTTCCTTCAACAATGTCTTCTGTCATTCTACAGATGTTTACCAACAGAATAAAATGCTACAGTATTGACCCAGAATAAATATACTAATATTTTCTATATAAGGAAAAATTCAAGTGAGATGAATTCTTTACAGGACTCAGGTATTATGTCAAATGTTAGTGACAGTAACATAGATGTGCTTTTTCTAGACACTAACATATTTTATAATAGTTTTTTCTAAATGCATTTCCTGCATTTTCCTCAACATTCAAAACATAAAATTGGAAGAGTTATTTAGTTAGATATTTTTCCAATTATTTTTATCTAAGGTTTCTTTATCTATTCTTTTAATGTAATAAATAAGAGACGTTTGGATATGTGAAAATGCCACTATGAAAACTGTCATCCTCTATAACTGATACATACTCATAAAAATGTTTTTTTACATTAACTGATATCTTTAACACAAAACACAATCAGTTATGTTACAAAATTCAATGCATTCCTAAATATTTTTGTTTTATACAAAATCAATCATGAAACTACAGAGTATAAGGGGAAATGTAGTTAGGAACATAATACTCAGAAACACTCATACATAAAAAATAAAGATATTAATAAAAATGAGGGTACTATTTGCATATTAAATTATTTACAACATAAGTAATAAAATATATATGATATTTTACCTACAGAAGACTAAAATGGTTGTTTAAAGGGTTAGTTTATAGATTTTTATGATATCATGGAAATGAAGTCTGAAATCAGATGGAAATTTCTAATATGACATGTGAGTGGATGTGGCTCAACACATATAGGGAGGTAGATGGTAGATGTCTGTGTTCATACATATGTGTGTGTTTTATATGTTTCTATCTCACTGGGTTCCACTTGGTAGAGATATCTAGTTAACCTAGTGCTTCTTATAGAAGAAATCATATACTCGGAAATATGAAATTCTTCTCATGCTCAAATTGGTTTCCAATATATTAGTCATATTGAAACAAAATTGTTTATATAACAGGAATTAAAGCAAAACTGACTATAATACTTTTCTATTTCAGAATCATAAAGTTTGACAGCTAATGAAAGCCTCTATGTTTTGTCTCATTTCCTAATTTTGCTCCCTTGTATGACTCATTCTGCAGTAGAACAATTCTGATCATTCCAAAATTTATTTAAGCTTATATAACACCATCAAGTTCAGGAATAAAGGTCTTTGTTACTAATATTTCTTTGAACTTGAAACTCCTGCCTTTTCCTGAATACATCTTTTCACTTCATACACAGTTCTAGTAATTGGTCTTTTCCACGTATTTTGAACCATATGCAAAAATCCTACTGTCATTATGGATCAGCATATGAAGGAAACTTTCCAGGCAGATTACAATTGTCTAGTGGAGAAAAAGGAGAACATTGCCTTTTTTTTTTTTTTTTTTTTGTACCAGGGATCGAACTCAGGACCTTCTGCTTGCGAGGCAGGCAGCAGAACCACTGAGCTAAATCCCTGGCCTGAATACTGCCTTTCAATGCAGTGAATATTCATCTCCACTGATATAGAGAATGAAACACTAATGGCAACATGATTTAATTCACTTATCACACATTGAAGATGGAATTTAACTAACAATGGACCTGTTTTCAATCATTGCTGATGACAAGAATCATAGCTCAACTCCAATAAAAGCACCCTATAATTGTAGGCAAATATTACCCAAAAATCTGAAATAATTTACATGCCTTTTCCTGACCTTAAGATTCTTTTTTATTATTAATTTTATTGGCACATTTTAAGTATACAATATAATGACATTCATCATAGGAAATTTGTACCTTTACATAATCTCTCTTGGTTTTTATTTTTCCCCATTCCCCTCCTCTCCCTTCAACCCTTCCACACCTCCCTGTTTATAAAGACTTTGTTTCCATATTTTCATTTTCTCATATTAATTCCATTCCTTTCTTTCCTTTCCCCTACCCCTCCCACTTCCCCTTCCCTTTGCCCCCTTTCTTCCTATTTCACATTATCTATTATACGTTTTGATTCTTTTTTCACTTTCAGTTTCTCACACAAGGGAAACTATTTGGTATTTACACATGCGTGTCCTATTTATTTCACTTAAGAGTATCTCCTCAATGTGCATCCTTTTAGCTAAAAATGCCTCGATTTCTCATTCGTTATGGCTCAGTAATACTCCATATTATGAAAAAAAAAGCTGATATTTTCTTTTTCCAGTCTCCTGTTGATGGGCAATTGGGCTGTTTCCAAGTTTTAGCTACCAAGAATTGTGCTGCTATAAACATGGGTGCACATATATCAGTGTGGTATGAGTCTTTTAATTCTTTGGGGAAGACACCCAGCAGGGAAATAGCAGGGTCAAACGGGACCTCTGATACTAGTTTTTTGAGGTATCTCCATACTGATTTCCATAGTGGTTGCACCAGTCTACACTCCCACCAGCAGTGGAACAGGGTTCCTCTTTCCACTTAGCCCCACCGTCATTTGTTATTGGTTGATTTCACGATAACAACCATTCTTTCTGGGGTGAGGTGGAATCTCAGGGTTGTTTTCATTTCCATCCCTCAAATGACCAGTGATGTTGAACATTTTTTCATATTTATTTGCTATTTCTACTTCTTTGTCTGAGAAATGTCTGTTCATTTCAGATGCCCACTTTTGCATTGGATCTTTAAATTTGGATGGTCTAATTTTTGTAAATTCTTTATCTAGTCTAGATAGTAGACCTTTGTCTGAGGAACAGCTGGTAAAATTTTTTCTCACATTGTGGGTTGTCTCTTCACACTGTTGGTGGTTTCTCTTGCTGTGCAGAAGCCTTTTAATAAGAAGAGATCCCACTTGATGATTGTTTGCACTAGCTCTTGGGCAACTGAGGTTTTGTTCATAAAATCTTTTCCTATGCCAATGTCTTCAAGAGTTTTACCTAATTTCTCTTCCAGCTGGTTTAGTGTTT